GAATTTTAAAAATTGAGAAAATAAAGAATTTTGTAAAAAAAAAGATTAATCATTGTTTTTACTATTAACGAATTTTGTCGACAAAGTGTATATGTCGGCAAAAGAATTTTTCGACAAAGTGACTGTCGGCAAAGTGTATATGTCGGCAAAACAATTTTTCGGCAAAGTGGTGTCGGCAAAGTAATACGTCGGCAAAGTAATACGTCGGCAAAGTAACTGTCGGCAAAGTGATACGGACCCCTGAATCTCAGTATGTGATTGTGACCAGAGCTGCCAACAGGCCACATTTTTCATTCTGGCCTGGCTAAAATTCAAAAGTGAGACTGCAGGTCAAACCAAGCAAACTAATGTTTCAAAGTTTTTATAATTATGTAGTTTACAAATTAGCATTAATTCACTGTATAAGTTTCAATTGGTCATCCAATTTGTTCTCATGAGAGCATTAGAATGTAGTAAGTCAATTCTTAACTCAGACCAGTCATGAACCACTTTAACTGAGTACCATGGTATTCCTTAGTATAATATTGAATCAGTAAGGAGCATTTGAATAGTCTTGGCATACGGAGAGCTAGAAATTAAAGTAACTGCGTTTTATCATAGGAAGAAATCCAAAAATATTTAATAATTCTGAATATCTGAGAAACCAGGAGTAAAGAATGAAAAACACGGTCAACAGACCTTATAAAACGTATAAAAGTATTGATTTGGATTGATGATGAACAGAAAATATGAAAATAAGTCATTATTGAGATATGAAATCGTCTCATTCTTACAGTTGAATGCTTTAAAAGTTAATATTAGAGCATACCCACGCTAAACAATTGAGTTTGGCCTGCCTGCAAGCCAAGCTGGCAGCTCTGGCTGTGACCATCATTATTGAGGTCTTCCGTTGTTGTCGCTGTAAAGCATTACACAACCCAATACAATTTACACCCTCACCCTTGAGTCGAAGTGTCCTATTTTCTCCTAAACAGTAATTTTTTAACAAACAGACTTTTTTTCATGCATAACATACGCTGTTAGAGGTGGGTATGCTCTTTTGTCTCAAAAAAGAATTCTATCGGTTTAAGTTGCTCTTACAAAAGGAGCACCATTGAAGAAACTATACATTTTTTGTCTTTCATGTTTTGAATTTTTATTTGAAGGAGAATAGAGAAAGAGCAACAAAAAAAACCACTCCAAACAGTGGCCACCCACATAAAAAAAAGTGAGCAAGAAACACATTTAACTACTTTTAATACTAGAAACAAGGTAAAACAACGTCACTTTTCTTACTATTTTTCACTTTTTAAAGTAAGGTAACGGCAAAAAGTTCGCGACATTTTCTTATCGACATTAATAGAAAAATTTCTAAGAACTTTTCTTTCATATAATATACTAAAAGATGCAGCGTGAAAAGCTCTACAATTTGCACAAGACCACCTTTTTTACATTTCTACTTTTTGTTTTCAAAATCGTCAAAACTTCAAGCGATCAAATTTCGACTGTGAAAACGATATTTTTTTCGGCACAAGATGGATTTATTCATCTTTTGATCACTTCATATCTTTTATTTAAAAAAAAAACAAAATACATCACAAGATGCAGCGTGAAAAGCTCTATAATTTACACAGGACCACTTTTTTACAGCTGTACTTTTCGTTTTGAAAATCGACACAAATTCTGAGCCACCCGATTTCGATGCTGCGAAAAAGTCTTTGTTCAATACACGGCCAATGCGTTTTTTTCCTCTTTACCACATGAAATCTTTTATTTAAAAAAAACAAAATACACCAAAAGATGCAGCGTGGAAAGCTCTACAATATATACAGGTGATGAAAAGATAAAGTAAGAAAAAAGATAAAGTAAGAAAAAAGATAATTCCTCGTTCGTGTTATCTTTTCGCAGCGCCAAAATTTGGTCGCTCGAAGTTTTGACGATTTTGAAAACAAAAAGCGCAACTGTAAAAAAAAGCGGTCTTATGCAAATTGTAGAGCTTTTCACGCTGCATCTTTTAGTATATTATATGAAAGAAAAGTTCTTAGAAATTTTTCTATTAATGTCGATAAGAAAATGTCGCGAACTTTTTGCCCTTAACTTAATTTCTCAGACTTTTCCAGTTTTACAAATACTTAATAGTACTTTTTAGTGAAGCAGTATGCAAAATGCTTAGAAAGGTTAATTTAAAAGGACTCTTTGCTGTTTAAAGAATCTTTTGAAAGTATCAAAAAATCAGTTTCTGGCTACCTTTTTTCATGGGTAGCACTGGTAAAAAGCACCCTCAGCTTGATAGAACATTGTATCTTGCAGAAGCGGAGCCGAGAATCTGGATCATTTTTCTCAATTATGAATCAGGTATCTTTTGAAAAGACAACATCTGACAACCTTAAGTCTATAACAAGTTTTGCTCTGCAGATCAAGATCTATCTGTATTGAAAATTTCGAAATATTTAGGAAGAAACATGCTCTAGAGAGTTTGCAGAGTAAGCATAACCTTGCAGAAGAAGATAAAACAAAGAACAACAGCGCGTATGCGAAGAATGTCATTATCGTAATAGTAGTTTAAAAATTTGATATTGCACTATTGGAGATCCAAGTGATTGACTATAGCTCGATCTATTGTAAATATTGCTGTAATCCAGGCGGAAAATGGACAATAAAATATCGATTAGTAATTATAATTTTCAAAATTCCGTTAGAATTTCGACAATTACTGAAGTTTGACAACATTGTCATAGTTCGATTAGAATTTCAAAATTTTTCGAAATTCTACGAAAAAATCCAAATTGCCAAAACTCAGATAACGAAAATCTATTTGTCGAATTTCCAGAGAACCATTTCCATTCTACCCTCTGTATCCTGACGGTATCCAGAATATGGGAGATCCCGAGTATCCAGGATACAGTCAGGATACAGAGGATCCAATCCCAGGTCAAAAATCAGACATCAAGTCTTGTACGATCAGGTGAAATCGTATAAAAAATCGTGGTCTCAGAAATCTAACATCAAATCACACTATAAGATTCTTATAAGATCTTATTGTGATACAAGATTTTCTATAATCTTACAGTAATATCTTACAGAACAGCAAGGTCTGCCAAGAATCTTAAGTACGACTTGATGCAAGAATTCTGAGGCCATGATTTTCGTACGATTTTTCGTCTGTTCCTACAAGATCATGCAAGATCAGATGTAGGATCATGTAAGATCTTACCGTCTGCTTGTTTGGTCTGGGATGGGGATACGGAGGATACGACGGGGATACATAGGATACGATCGGGATACGAGAATACCACAATCCGCTTTTTCCCCGTTGGCTACAATGCATTATTAATCAAAGCACGATTGTTTTGTTCTCATACATTAATGAAAATAAGGCATAATCAGAGCAACTTCTGAAGTAGAGTTTTGATCTCGGTCATAGTCACGATTAATAAAATTTGCAATTTTCGAATGAAAAGTTTCAATTAAAAAAGCACAAATAAATTTCGATTGCAATATTTTATTGAATAATCAAAGCTCTGCAAAATGCTCTATGGCATTTGAGAATATAATTATTCTCGATAATGAATTACATGTCACGTTAGTTATGACCAGAATGTGTCATGGCCAGCAACAAAAATTGTGGGCCAGAAGCAATGCGCAACATATTTCTTTATCGACAATCATCATTTGGAAATGATTTCGTCATCGAATATGTTTCTTTTTTTTCATATGCTTCTCGCGCTAATATAATACTACAGTTCTGAATGAGATGCATGGCTAAGTCTGTTGAATATCTTGTAAAGAAGTAAACAATAGTCCTCAAATAGAAGAGTAAGTTTCTGCCACCATCAAGCAAGAACACAACAATTTATTTGTTTAGAAAAATTCAATGCATATGAACAAAATGTTAAACGTTGGAATAATTGGTGTGGGCAGAATTGGACGCTTACATGCTGAAAATATTGCTCGTAATTTTCAAAATGTGCGAATAAAAAGTATTGCCGATTCGCATTTAGATGACGAAATGATTTTCTGGGCAAAGAATCTGGGCATTCAATATTGCACCAAGTCCAACGGAGATTTACTAGTTGATACTGACATTCAGGCTGTCTTGATTTGTTCACCAACAAGTACTCACTACGACATTGCGATTGATTGTATACGCACTAACAAGCATGTATTTTGTGAAAAACCGCTGAGCAGCAATATTCAAGAAATTAAGGATGTGATCTTGGAACTTGAAAAAAGTACTAATACAAAGCTTAAGTTTCAAATTGGATTTAATCGTCGCTTTGATCATAATTTTCGAGCAATAAGAGAAGCCATCGCATCGAAACAAATTGGTCAGCCTCATATTTTACGTCTAACATCGCGTGATCCATGTCCACCATCTGTTGATTACTTAAAACTATCTGGTGGACTATTTTTTGACATGACTATTCATGATTTTGACATGGCAAGATACTTATTGGATGATGATATCATCGAGGTTCATGCAGATGGCGGTGTCTTATTCGACTGGAGACTTCACGAATTGACAGATATTGATACAGCGGTTATAACAATGAGAACGTACAAAGGCGCCTTTGTTATCATTGACAATTCAAGACAAGCTGCTTATGGATATGATCAACGAGCTGAAGTATTTGGTACAAAAGGACAAGCAGCAATTACCAATGATACAAGTTCATCTATTGTTGTGTCAAATAATGAAGGCGTGTATTCTGAAAAGCCTGTACACTTCTTCTTAGAACGCTATAAACAATCATACATAACCGAAATTCAACAATTTTTCGATGCTGTACTTAATGATAAAACCGTGTCTGTTACTGTTAATGATAGTTTGCAAGCAGTTAAAATTGCAAAAGCAGCTCAACGATCATTAAAGGAAAAGCGCCGAGTAAATCTGATTGAAATATCAGACTATGAAAAACCAGAAGTTAAGGACGAACGAATCATAGAGAAAAATATATATAACACTTCAGCGCATGGTTTTACCACCCATTATTCTTCGGAAAATAGAACACATCAACATGAATCACCATCATATATCTAGAAGAATGCAATCTATGCATCACAGATAAACAATATGATTTCTAACCAAAGTGTACTCTAAACCATAGGATCTAAATTTTGTTTAGCTCAATAAAGCGTTTAATTTTTTTCCTAAAATATAACTGCAATCGAACCTGTTTAGAACATTCTTCTTTTGAATATGTCGTTAGATTGATTCTTAGAAAATTTGTTGCATCACAAGAAGTCACAAATAAGCATGTCTTCATATATTGAAAATGCTTTGTCGAAATCAAATATAAGACGAAATTCGGTATTCTATAGGATGAGCAAAATGTTTGCTACGAGAGAGCTTGTATACGTATTATATATTTTAATTTTTTATCGAATGTCCTTCTTTGAAAATAACTACTTTGGATTCGTTTAGAAAATATTATTGTATTAGTAGAGAAGGAGACCTCTTTCTTGGTACACAAATCTATACAGGATTGCACGCTTTTATTCATTGGGTAAGTCTTCTGCAGTTTAAAAAGGGAAGCAAGGTGGAAAAGTAGACTTTCCGATGTCTTCGAACTACCACAAGTATAAAAATCTGGAAAAAACTTATATAATTCAATAAGAGTGACTACAGAAGCTAGCAACGGTGGAATATGGATGTGGATGTAAAACTTCTTCGCCACGCCCACAGACTCACACACAAAATACTCGACCATACTTTGCTAGATTCATTGATGAATGAGACACGGGTAAAAATATGGAAACAAGATGGAAATCATCGATTTCCTGAACTATATAGGCCAAATTCAAAATAGCATGTTTATGAAGGGGTTAGATCATTTCAGAGAGTAACATGTCATTGGGTAGCGTGAATAAACACTGCAAACAATCTCAAATTCCCCATCTTTCAAGAGATATAGCTATTTCTGCAATATACAACAGTACATACAAGTAATTATAATTTGTCACAGTCGACACCTGGTATATTGATCTTGAGGTGTCTATAAAGCATAAAAAGATTAGTATTGATCTTAGTAGTTGTTGCGCACTAATATGCCAAACAAAGACTACGTGAAAACAACCGAAGTATTTGCCTAAAGAAATTACTTCAAGTTGCTAGCGATTTATTTTGAAAAGGATAAAATAAAAGGCAGATAAGAGGGTAACGCTGACAGTAAATCGTCTATTTTTTAATATCTTCTACACACAAATCTTGATTATCTTCTACGTTCGTGGCAGAGAGTAGAGCCGTTGATTCATTATCATGCGCAGGACTACTAAATGTACTATAGTGATGCTTTGGACTGAGTGCTTGTAATAACTTTTCTTTGACATTTAGTGAATGTTTCTGAGTGGATGGCTTTGATATCAAATTTTGGGTATCTTCTGAGCGTTGTGTTCCTGAAATACTTTCCATGCCTGCACTTGTTTTCTTTCCTTCTTCCACACCATTGGTTATGTTCATCAAAGCCTCTTGTGTCTCGTACCTCCTATTGAAATCCATGATGCGCGCTTGTTGATTCCATAGCGATCTATAGAAGCCGTTCTCTATGCTCATAAGCTCATCATGCGAGCCAGTTTCAACGATCATGCCATCATTTAGAACTAAAATGTTGTCCGAGTTCACAATCGTCGTTAACCGATGAGCGATGGTAAGCGTTGCACAGTCTTTAGCCATTTCATTCATGACCGCCAAAATTTTTGATTCAGTCAATGAATCCTGTTGTGAAAAAGAGTAATAAAGTGCATAGTTTTTGATAACTTGGCAGTATACAGTACTATATCTTATATTATAATCGACAAGAGTTGATAAATATTTATTATTTCAAAACTTTATTGATACATTCAAATATATAAAAGCTACTCTATCTTTTCTAATGAATCTGGAACAGCCTATTCTTGGGAAAAAGAAGAAACATGCCATAACAACCTTCAAATAATCGGCATAGCGGTTCGTAGGCGAAGTTATCACCAGATTCGGATATTTGCAACCTGGGTTTGTTCAAGAACTTATTTCAAATCTCTTATTCTTGCTCCAAGTACAGCTCGTCGAGTTCTACGCCAAACACGAATAGGAGACTTGGAACAAGTTCATGAGCGAATCCAGGTTAGAAATACTCGGATCTGGTAATAACTTCATCTACGTTTTTCAAGGTGCGCATTCTGACTAACGATTTTCTGTGATACTTTCCATTTCAGAAACGCAAATATTCTTTTACACAACCACTGTTCTGTTATAGTTCTTACCTTGAAAAGTGTCAATCAGGAGCGATTTTCGCAAGTTACTAGAAACACGATAACGATATGCGGCAAAATGTAATATCTTCATTTTGTTTCGAACTAGTTTAGAAATCCAATTCAGATTAGAAGCAGCATTCTAGACTCTATCAGAACGCGTTTCCACTGCTTTTTAAATGGCAGACGGAGAAGTTAGTGGATTTTTTATAAACAAAGGAACCACACAATCATTGATGATATTTTTTTGATTTTCTACTTCCATTTCAAAGAAACAACCTGCATTTAATTGACAAATGCAGTTCTAGATATATTTTGGCTGTATTAAGGCGGCTGAGTTTCTCGATGATTTTTTAGTTTACGATGAGATATGTATATTCTGATAGAGAAAAACTGTCTTCATTTAGTCGTATATATGGTAAAAATTTTTACTCGGAACTGGTGATAGGTCAATAGTTGCTATCATTACTGCGGTCACTGTAGATATGCAATGCTGCTAGCACCATCTATCACTAATTCATCATTACACAATAGAAAGCGACAATGCATACATCATTAGATAGAGAAAGTCTTCTTTTACAAGGCTAAGCAGATCCTATTATGTAATCGAAACCTTATAAGCGTCTTTGATATTGTTGAAGTCAGAAATAATATTAATTTATGCATATGGCAACATTGTTTGACGGATACAGATAAAAAATTAGAGTCGAATCATAAAACACAACAATCTGAATGTAGTTTTTGTTTGCAAAAAACGTATAACAGAGCTTTATGTGCATATTTCCGAAGATTTTATTTTATTTGCAATCAGCTACTAGCTGAAAAACTTTTATTACTTATTCACGAACTCCGGCAAGTTATTATTGTCTACATTATCAGTTCAGTTTCTCTTATGACACTTGTGATTACTCCATAGCGACATACGTACGAGGAAAAAATAACATCCCAATTTAAAAAGACATAATTTTAGAGTAAGAAATTTTTTAGAACTAAATTTCTTAACAAAGCGGCAGGTATGCTTTTTTTAACGTCGAAGAAGAAAAATGGAAAAAAGAATCAACGATGATAGTATAGTTGCTTTGTGTATGAGAATCCAGTGGCTTCATTATTTGCAACTTAAAAAGCAGTGAAACCGTGTTCCGATACAGTCTAATGTGATGTTTTTGATTTCAATGCAAATTTCTAAACTAGCTTGAAATCAAATAAAATTCACATTTCACTACATATGATCATCATTTTTTTTAGTAACAAACAGTGCTGAAGTTCTCAAAAAAGTGAAATAGAGTAGTCCTAAGAAGAATTAATTGAGAATCGAGGCTCCTCCATATCCACACGCTGGTTGCATTCTTTTCAACCCATTGGGTTCTCAGTGAAATCTCGATTCAATTCACATTCAATGACTAGTCGATTTTGCTCTCAATTCTGGTTGAATTCTTGATCAATTTTCCTTTTGTAAATATGGGACATTGTTAACAAGGAAAAGAGGCATTTTTCTTCATTTTAGGCTACGTATATTTACTATAGCTACGCTAGGAAACACATGAGGTACATATTCCCACTATACGAATAACTTGAGAATCCTTTAATATAACCATTAGATCGAAATAAAAAGCAAACCTTCGCGCAAATGTTTTGAAAACTTTCTTTTCATGTGATATTATGACCTCAATATTGTAATATATGCGTTTAGGCTCTTGTAAGGCGGGAATCTAGTAATAAAAGAAGGGTTTAGTTTTAAGTAGGACTAAATAAACAAGAGTTCAGAGAAATTAAAATGCAAACCAGCGAGCTTGTTGCTTCATCGAATACCAATATTTTTGGATTTTTCAAAATGGCTCGTGCAACTACAAAAAAAATCTATAGCATTTCCAGCTGAATTAATACAAAACCTACTTGCTACTCTTTGTCTTTCTCCACCTGACAGCCGAAGACCACGCTCACCAACTTGTGTTTCGTAGCCGTCTGGTAGGGCTGTAATAAAGTCGTGAATACCAACGTGTTTGCACACAGAGATTATTTGTTCCATAGTGGCATCATGAGTGATGCAACCATAGCCGATGTTATATGCAATAGTATTACTGAATAGCACACACTAAAAATAGATAAACAATCATGCATGCGCCACACATATGCTCAGATCTCATATTATCAAATTGATCATATTTGCGGAACATGCATCAACATACCTGCCTAAAACGTTCTATACTCTCAGAGACATTTATGCTTGTTCTCAATAATCGAGCAGCTTAATTAGTTTTTCCACTCTTTTAAAGAGAGACTATTATTCTCAATATCTTACATTAAGTAAAATTGGAGCACAAACTGAATATAGGAATGATGCGCACGACGAAACTTGCGCATGGAACAAGAAATGAGGGTTTGGAAACAAATCAAATCCTATCAATTTCATGACATCTTCATCCACGCTCACACCCTTTCTGAATAATAAAACAGTATTTAAAAAACTAAATCAATATTTTTAAAGCTCGTAGCCCGGTAATTATAATAAGATATGACACTGACCATGGTCTCTTGTCACAAAAACTAGATCAGCTTACACATATGCATAGAAATACTTGCTTTTCAAGCATGCTAAGATATTCATACTGGATAATTAATTTAACTCTATCAACTTTAAATCCCTTCAAGTGACATTTTTCTACTCAGTTTTTAGTAGTCAATCAGTATATGATATTTTCGAAAAGTTCACAAAATCGCTGGAACTGAAATTTTACAATATCCATAGAAACAGTAAATTTATCATGAAAATGCTACTTTTCTAGTCACTCGAATTTATTAAAGTTTCTCTGA